ACGCTCTCTCACACCACCACCCAGCACAGATCAACTCTGTATCCAAGACACTCATCTCCAGAACAAAACGCTTAGCTGACGAACAACACCTAAAACCCGAACTACACACTCTCACCAATGTAATAACATCCAATGGATTCCATAGAAATAAGATTACAAACCTAATCCAAAAAGAAACCCCCACTAAAATCCAAGACAAAGAACAAGAAAACGGCAAAGCCTCCTCCCATACATAAAAGGCACCACAGACAGAATCAGTAAGATCCTCCATAAACACAACATCAAAACAGCATTCTGCACAAACAGAAAAATATCCACCATCCTTAGAAACCCCAAAGATAAAATTGAATTAGAAAATCAAGAGTATACGAAATCCCATGCACCACTTGTCCCACCATATACATCGGACAAACCAACAGAAGAATAAGTGCACGCATTGAAGAACATAAGAACTCAGTCAAAAAAGAGGAACCAACATCTTCCCTGGTCCAACACCTTAAAGCCACAGGACATGAAATTGACTTTAAAAATAACAGAACCATTGCCAAAAGTGAACATTTTAATAACAGAATAATCAGAAGCCATCGAGATTGAAAAACGCCCACACAGCATGAACAAGCGAGATGATACCTCCCGCCTACCAGCCATTTGGAAACCTGCCCTTATTGACAAACGACTCCCTAACCCCTAAATCTTAAACCCCTCTGCAACTCAGACTAACCTGAGCACAACCAAACAGAACACTCCCCCAGCCAATCAGAGCACAGCCAAGCCCCTAACCATTCAGAACACACCTCCCCAAAAATCAGAACACAGCAAGCTCCATCCATCAGTTCATACCCTCACTGCAGTTAAAAGGAAGAAACAGCTAAGACCACACATTGCTGCTCAAAGCACAAAGCTGAAAACACCAGCCTGAAGATGACGAATGGGACTTCGTCGAAACATCGCCAAGACACTTCCAATTTTACGCGGGAGAAAACCCGAACAACCAAAGACCTATATATATATATATATATATATATATATATATATATATATATATATATATATGTTTGAAACAGTGCTGCCAGATTGATGATTTAAGGGAAATGTGGCAATTTCTAACTGGAAGCCTTTATAGTATAGTGCAAATAGCACATGAATTATCTCTTTAGCCTCACATGGGCAGGACAGGAGCTACAGATTGTATACACACGAATCTGAGATCACTGGAAGTATCTGAATGTACAGATAGTCCTCAACTTATGACAATTGAGCCCAAAATTTCTGTTAAGTGAGACATTTGTTAAGTGAGTTTTGCCCCATTTTATGACCTACCTTGCTACAATTGTTAAGGAATCACTGCAGTCATAAATTAGTAACCCAGTTGCTAAGTGAATCTGGCTTCCCCATTGACTGTTAGAAGTTTGCAAAAGATCACATGACCTTGAGACAGCAACGGTCCTAAATATGAACCAGTTGCCAGGCATCTGAATTTTGATCATATGATCATGGGAATGCTGCAAGGGTTGTAACTGTGAAAAATGGTCATAAATCATATTTTCAATGGTGGTGTAACTTTGAACGGTCACTAAATGAACTGCTGTAAGTTGAGGACTACCTGTATAGCATAGTACAAATAGCACATGAATTATCTCTTTAGCCTCACACGGCAGGACAGGAGTTGCGGATGGTATAACCTCGAATCTGAGGACCACTGGAAGTATCTGAAGATGTGCATGAATGGCCTGATTTTATGCGGGAAGATTAGTAACATATCCGGTTTCAATAAAGCTTCAGCCGGCTGTTTCACAAACCCGCACTAACAATAACAAGTCAGCCATGCGCGCCTCTTGGAGAAGCCGTTCTTGGTCCGTTAGTTCCCGAAACCAGGTCTGGCAAGGCCACAACGAAGATGTAAAGGCATTCGCTGCTAAGCCGACTATCCTTGAAGACATTGCACGTTTACCGCTACACTGCAGGCAGCAATGCAACTGCCGGGCAGATTTTCATGGCTAAAAATATCTTCGTGCATATCAGCAGGTCGAGCCTCCAAGTGCTAGTAGCTCAGCCACCTCCAGGCCCAGCGACCACCTCTAGTTCTCGATTAAGGTATCCTTACCAGACTGTCTCGAAGAGGGTCCACGCGTGCAACGATTGGAACGCGGGTGCCATAACAACGATGCGAATTACGCCAAAAGAATTCAGTTGGGCAGCTTGTGATTGGCCAAATCACTCTGGGCGCTCGTCCTTTTTCAGCCCCGCCCGCGGGAAGGCTTAGCTTCCTGCTCTGTCTTTGATGTCACCAGTTTGGTAGGTTCGTTCGTCCACTTGCTCGTTTTTTTTTATTAGCGCATTTTTTATCCCGCTTTAGACTGGTTTCTTGTGTCCCTAATAGCGGCTGCTAGTGATAAAGGGGAATTAATGTTTTATCTTTGTCTTTTTTTTAAGGAGGCAAATTCCTGGCCTTGGATTTTAGACAAATATGCTTAAATAGTCCAGCTGCTCCAAGTTTAACTTGCTAATTTCTTTCTCTCAGACTCCTCACATGCTTTGTATAATAAGTTTATAAACTGGACTAAGTTCAAAAGGTTTCCTAAAATGACCTGGCACTCTATTCTGCTTATTTTCTGGTATCAAGAATAACAACTACACAGCAAGCAGAAGTTCAGGAATCACATCTATTATCACTACACCGCACACTGGTACATTTTCCTAGTTAGCTGTCATAAAATACAAATATCTCCCATAAGATTATAAGCAATGTCCTGATGGATTGGATCCTGGCTATTCAGTTCAATAGCCTGTTCTTATGATGGCCAACCAACTACCTAAGAGAGCCCCCTGGCCACCTTGCAGACAGCTGTCCTGCTAAGGAAGATGTAGTAGTAGAGCTTCAAAAAACATCTGCCCTGAAGGACACTAAGTTAGGTGCTTCCTTTCCAGAATCATCTTCACTTTCCAAACTATGAAGGGAATATTGAAAAGATGGTGTTAGTAAAGATAGGTTTTTGCTCCATCAAACATAATAATTATATATATGGAGCTTAAAATACAGAAGACCCCAAAATGCCTTTGGATCGAGTGGAGGAGGCAACTGTTCCTCATCAGAAGAGATCTGCTGCCTATTAGCATCATTGCCTATTGGCAGATGATCCTCCCCTGTGTCTGTGAAGGCAGGCAGCTCTCTGGTTGACCACCTCCCCTAATGCCTGAGGGGCCTGGGACAGCATCGTCCTCAACCCCTGGCCTCTCCAAATATGCCAAGGGAGATATGCCATCCTTGTTGGAAGATCTCGGTTCCATCTCCTCCTCCTCCTCCGAACCAGGCTCCAATGGGGCCATAACACATACCATCTCTTCAGAACTTGGGGCATAAACTGGGGTTTCCGGAAAAGCTCCCAAAAGCAAGTCAAAATAATCCTGAATCAGAAAGGGATCTCTTCTTGAATGGCTTTTTTTTTTTTGTCTCAAGCTGCAGTTACCTGATTACAGGTAATCCTTGACTTACGACCACAATTGGGTCCAAAATTTCTGTTGTTAAATGAGACATTTGTTAAGTGAGTTTTGCCCCATTTTATGACCATTCTTGCCACAGTTGTTCAGTGAAGCACTGCAGTTGATAAGTTAATATCCCAGTTGTTAAGTGAATCCAGCTTCCCTATTGACTTTGCTTGTCAGAAGGTTGCAAAAGGTGATCACATGGCCTTGAGACACAGCAACAGTCAAAAGTGAATCAGCTGCCTTGTTGGTAGGGCAGTATTGGAAGAAGGATTGTTTGCCTACTATAGAAGAATGGACACTTAAAGTGTCTAATTTAGCAGAAATGGCTAAGATTTCTGCTTATTTGAAGAATTATTCACAAGAAAGATACATTTCGGTTTGGAGAAGATGGATAGATTATATTCAGAATAAATATGGGACTAAAAGTTCAATTTATTTTATGAATAAATTATTGAATATTATTATTGCTATTATTATTAATAATAATAGTTTAGTGTAGTGGAAGCTTTATTATATTGTATTGTTTATAAATTGGGATTTTAATTTGATTATATGATAAAGTTCATTTGTAAATTGTTTATCCTGTGTTAAAAGAGAGTTAAAGTGCATTATATTTGTTTACCTACATAGTTGGTTAATGTTAGTTAGAGTATGGTTATTATATTTGTTACCCTGTATTCAGCTCTGGGAAGTGGGGTAGGGGGGTAGGGGGGTGGGTTTGGGGTATATTTTGTAATTTTTGTAAAACTTTTCAATAAAAAAAGTGAATCAGCTGCCAGGCATCTGGATTTGGATTACATGATCATGGGGATACTGCCAAAGTCATAACTGTGAAAAACAGTCATCAATCACATTTAGTATCCTTGTTAGTACCTTGGTATATAGTTATTAGTACCCTTGGCCCACTTGCATTGCCCTGATCCCAATGAATTTCATCCAAAAGGCTTCCCTTTGTCTCCTAACCCACCAGAAGCACATTAAATACAGAGCTATCACCAAAGCATTTCTTTCAATGTGTATTTCCCATAGTGTACTTGCTTGCTCTCTTGTAGTCTCTTCCTAGCCAAAAAGTATAAATACACACATTAATTTGTTGCACTCTTACCACTCTGTTTTCATCAATCATATCACAATATTCAGCAATAAAGAAAACAATTTAGGAGGGGTCTAGCTGTTCTTGGCAGCTTCAAGTCATAGTTTGGGATTGCTTCTTGTTACTTTCATCAGTTATATTTTGATCTGGTTTCTAGTATGTCCTTGTTTCAGCCCACCAGAGTGTATTGGTACATTCTCTAAGTACTAGTATGTTGGAACAGAATGTATATTTTTTTATAAAACTTGAATATACATCATATGGCTGATCAAACCCAATATTCATTATGATTGCTTATGAAAGTTATTGCTAGGCAAGCCTACAAGCCCTTGGTTCCTATCTATCCAAAAGTACCTTTTCAACATTAGTTACAGCTGATACAAAGGTTATTTTTTAAATTATTGATGTTTCTTTTCCATAGATATTTATGACATGAAGAAACTTCTGTTGATTGATGCTGATTGTGGTGTTGATGACGCTCAAGCTATAATGATGGCTCTTGCAAATCCCGGTGTAGAAGTCCTGGGGATTACTTGCACTTATGGGAACAACCTATTGGAAAATACATCTAGAAATGTGCTCCGTGTGTTACATATTTGTAATAAGCTTGAGGTAATTGCCCCAATTGAACAATCCAACACATTCAGCATAGCACTGTGTATGGGACTCACAAAATCAGATCTTGGCATGTGAGACTGGTGTTTATTTGCTTATGTGTAAGAATCATTTTATGCATAAGACAAGGGTGGCTGCACCACTAATTTTCAAAAAGTGGTCTCTTGCCTTTTATAAAAAGATATTGATGCAGCTGTTTTAACTATGGATATGATCTCTTGGGTAGGATTAAATCAACTTCATGGTTTGCGGTAGAAATTATTACCACTATGACATTACTAGATGTGTTCTAGTTTTGATCTGAAGTGGAAACTTTAATGTATTTATTTGCTTAGTTTCATACTAGTCCATGTAGGATTTTCCAGGTTGTGGAAGAACACATTTATTACTTAGCAATATTAAAAGCCCTTGTGCTGCTTTCCTTCCGTACCATTTGACCTTCTCCCCAGCAACAGCATGACAGAGTTGCCCAGAAAACTGCAACTTGACACAGGTCTGGGAGATGATGGAAGGAGAGGAGATGTATGTTTTGGACCTCTGCAACCATTAGCAAACAGAATATAGCAACCAAATGAAAGAAGATGTTTTCCCTTCAGAACAAGTGAATGGTTCAAAAGAGGGGAAAAGAGGAGTCCAAGGAGACAAAGCACTCATATGTCACTTTTGTCTGTTTTTTTCCCCAAAATAAGATATTTTTATTTTGTTCCTCTATACAGATGTAGAAATGTTTTTAAATGCGATAAAATAAGCAAAGATAAATCATATGAATTTGAGTTGCTTGAAATAAAAAAATGGCTGGCTGGACTCATGGTGCAATTAAATTATTTGACATTGTTATTTAATTTCAGGGGGATCAATAGTTGTTTTTTAACATTCATATTATACTGGCATCTTTTCATATATAGATTCCAGTTTATCCTGGTGCTACTGGTCCTCTACTTGGTGGGCCTGTGACAGGGGCACTGTTCCATGGCAAAGATGGATTGGGTGATGTTCCTGATCCTAATGCACCAGGAACAGAACTTCTGCAGAAAGAAAATGCTGTGACCGCAATATTAAGAATAGTGAATGAGCAACCAGGTCAGGTGAGATAATAAAGGTACCATAAATATTTATCATAAATGTGTAATAGAATAAGGTCTCCATGTTCCCCAGATCTGAATTTCATCACAATATTTTTAATAGGGCTGCAAAAATCCACATGGCCAGTACATGGCAACAATATTTTTTCTGTATCTCTTTGCTTGCAACTTGTGGTTGTCTAGAATTTTCAGCCCAGGTATTACTTTCATGCTGCCTGACATTCAAAGACTTTGGATGGATAAAGTAGATATAGAAGATAAGGCAGCCCTACTGTTAACATAAGAAACCTAGAAAGAAGAAATAGAGGCATCAGAACAAGGACAAAACTGTGCTGTACCAAATGGAATTACAGTAGATTCCTTATGAGTACAGTATAGCAAAATATGTTTTGACTTTCAGTTCAAGATTTATTCATATATTATTTCCAACTGGACCAAAAAATGTGATCACATATTGTCTCTATAGCAGTGCTTCTCAACGTTTGTGTGACGGCGACCCCCGTCACACAAACGTGCCGCTCATGCGCGGCGCGGCCCCCATGCGTGGCGCAGCGCGGCCCCCATGCGTGGCGCTGCCCCCATGCGTGGCGCCGCCCCCATGCACGGCGCGCATGCGCGGTGCCGCCCCATGCGTGGCGTGCATGCGCGGCACCGCCCCATGCGTGGCACGCGTGCGCAGTGCCGCCCCCCGAGGGGGAAAAATGGCGGATCGCCTTGTTTGGCGACCCCCGAGAAATGGTCGATCGACCCCAAATGGGGTCGCGACCCATAGGTTGAGAACCGCTGCTCTATAGCAACAGTTTGATCTGAAGAAGTGAGGCCTAATCAACCACAGAAAAATTAATATAATATTACAATTATGTGTTATTAATAATATTCAATAAATAAATTTATCTTTAGATATCTCTGGTTGCTCTTGGTCCACTGACGAATATAGCACTAGCAGTAAAAATGGAGCCATCACTTCCCAAGAAACTTAAAAATTTGTTCATCATGGGAGGAAATACTGAATGTAAGTGAACACAAGAGGACCTGTTTGACATGTTTATATCTGTCTAATTTGGCAGATCCATGCTTAAAATTCATTTTAACCTGTTTGTTCATTTTTATGGGGAAAAAAACCTAATCATACTATCTAATTCTGGCTGTTTAGACAAAGTCTAAACTTTAAATGCTTTAATTCAAGCTTTCTCCCAAGTAAGTATACAAGAGTTGTGTCCTAAACAATATTTTAACATATATTAAGTAATAGGATAAAGTGGAATAATCATAGCAATTATCCAAGGAAGTAATTCATGATGCACATGGTTATCACAACCAAATTATGCCTAACTTCATCTTATGTGATGATAGAATTACATCATTAGGGGAATACTATAGTCATAATATATCTGGACCTCAGCAAAGCTTTTGACAACTTGCCTTGTGATATTCTCCTTCATGGAATAGCAAAGTATGGCTAGAAGGTGCTACTATTTAATGGACACAGCTTAATGACTGTACTTAAAGAAAGTGCATCAATGGCTCCAGTTCAGCCTGAAGCGAAGTATTGAGTGGAATGCCATAGAATTCTGTTTTGGGTGCTGCTGTTTAGCATTTTTATCTATGACTCTTACTAAATTGCACAAAGCTGGGAAAGTTGAATAATATTAGATGAAAGACAATTCAAGAAGGTCTAGATAGGCTTGAAGTGCAAACTGAAATGAATATGGTGAAAATGAATGTAGAGAAATATAAACTAACAGTCTGATGTAGTTGCTGAAAAGGCATATACTATCTTGGGTTCATAAACAGGAGCATAAGAGTTTAGACTATGCAAAGTAACTGTTCTATCCTGCCAGTCAAACCCTATTGGGGAACTATGCCCTGTTCTGGGCATCACAGTTCAAAAAAAGGGTAACGACAAATCAGACAAAGTTCAGAGAAGGCTAGTAAGGCTCCTGAGATACTAAGAATCTCGAAACCAAGTCTTACAAGGAACAGATAAGGGATCTAAGTATGTTTAGAGACAATACATTTGAGAGAAAATATGAATTTGGTCTTCATATATTTAAATGGAATCCAACTGAACATGGTATGTATTTATTCTATATTGCCCAGACCAGAATCAGTGGGTTAAAATACAAAGAAAGATTCCAATAAAGTCGAATATTTGTAGCTCAGGTTGAAAAGAGGGGTCCTTGGTGCTCTCTGAGCTTGGTTGTTTTCTTGCAGACATTTCATTACCCAAACCCAAACATTAGTGCTAGTAAGGAGTAGAGTTTGCTCTCAGATTATATTCTAGTGGATTGCCCTGTCTGTTGGTGGGAGTGGTCTTGGTGGTTCTTTGGTTGGACTGTTTATTGCAAGCTTGTTTGGTAGTTCCTTGTTTGGGGTAATGCTTGCTAATTGACTGTTGGTCTGATGTTAATCTTGGAGTTAATCTATGCTGATCTAGATGCTGATTGTTGATGGAGAGGTGCTTAGGTCTTTTTGTTCCCTTTTGGCTTGTTGATTGTCTGTTTTGCATAATCTGTAGATATTGTTTATGTCTATGTGTCTGTTGATGGCTAATTTGTCAGTGCCAGGCTTCTAGAAATTCCCTGGCGTTTTTGGACTTTGCTTGGTCCAGGATGGTCAGTTTCCTAATTGAAACTATGATTAAGTCTGTCTATATGTTGTGAAAGAAAGATTCCCAAGATAAAATGTAGAAGAACTTCCTGATTGTTCAACTTGTTAGCCTCTGGTATAAGCTGCATATGAAGAGGTCCTTCACAAGAGGTCTTCAAAGACTGGATGTCTCCTGCAATTTCATTTGAAATATTCTCATTAGAAGACTATACTTTTGAAAAGCCAACATGGGTTTGTCAAAAACAGATCACGCCAGACAAATCTTATTGCATTCTTTGACAGATGACAAAATTAGTGGACCAGAGGAATGCTGTGGATATTATTTATTTGGAGTTCAGTAAGGCATTTGATAAAGTAGACCACAACCTACTACTTGATAAGATAGAAAAATGTGGGTTGGACAGCATCACCACCAGATGGATTCATAGCTGGCTGACCAGCCGTACTCAGCATGTGGTCCTCAATGGAACTGCATCTATATGGAGGGAAATGTGTAATGGAGTGCCCCAGGGCTCTGTTCTGGGCCCAGTACTCTTCAACATCTTCAACGATTTGGATGAGGGGATAGATGGGGTACTCATAAAATTTGCAGACAATACTAAGCTGGCAAGAATAGCCAACACTCCAAAAGATAGGCTTAAAATACAGAAGGATCTTGACAGACTTGAATATTGGGTGCTATCTAACAAAATGAAATTCAATGCTGAAAAAAGTAAGGCTCTACATTTAGGCAAGAAAAAACAAATGCACATATTTAGTTTGGTGGTACCTTGCTCAATACTGTGAGAGGGATCTTGGACTTCTAGTGGACAATCACTTAAATATAAGTCAGCAGTGTGCTGCAACTGCCAAAAAAGCCAACATAGTGCTAGGCTGCATTAACAGAGGGATAGAATCAAGATCACATGAAGTGTTAATACCACTTTACATGTAGAATTAAGTACTGTATTTCTTTACTATATTTGTTTAAAATACCCAGCAAAAAGATCTCTGGTTTCCAGTCTATGGGTTGGTCTATTATTTCTTCGATCCATCTTCTTATTTTAGTCCAGTATTTTTTCGCAACTGGGCATGTCCACCATAAATGATAATATGTTCCATGTACTTTTTTACATTTCCAACATGTTGGCGAATTGTTCTGGAACATCTTGGCAAGCTTTTCTAGTGGAAGATGCCATCTGTAAAACATCTTCAACTGGTTTTCCTTGAATGCCGCTGACATAGTCAATTTTATGTTTATTTCCCATATTTTTTCCCATTTCTCCAATTCTATATTATATCCCAAAAATTTTACCCATCTAATCATTTAATACTCAGTTCTACATATAACAACGGCAGCAAGAATAGCATATGCACAGTTCTGGAAAAATGAGAATATACCATCAGAGCAAGAAGTGATAAGAAAAATCCTGGACTGTGCTGAGATGGACAAATTAACAAAAGAGATAAAAGAAAAGGAAGACACAGAGTACTATCTAATATGGAACAAGTGGTATGACTGGTTGGAGACTAGAAATAATAGAGGAGAATAAATGTGGAAAAGTCACGTGGAAAATGTGTGTATAATAATGTATAGTAATAATAATATGTATTATTCTTAGTATGAAATATAGTATGAAAGAAGAAAAATGCAAATAAGAAACAACGGGGCAACAAGGACAAATATTCTAAAGAAGAATAAGGGGGGAAAATGTAAATAATAGATTACTGTTACGAAATCGCTGTTAAAAAAAGGGAGGAGTATACACTGTGTGTGTGTATGTGTGTTATGTTTTGTTTTGTTGGTTTAAAAAATAAAAAATTAAAAAAAATGAATATAATACCACTTTACAATGCCTTGGTAAGGCCACACTTGGAATACTGCATCCAGTTTTGGTCACCACAATGTAAAAAAGATGTTGAGACTCTAGAACAGTGGTTCTCAATCTGTGGGTCGGGACCCCATTTGGGGTCGAACGACCATTTCACGGGGGTCGCCAAACAACGCAGTCTGCCATTTTTTCCCCCTTTTCCTTAGCTGTGCTACTCCCTTTTATTCTATTGGCTTTTGAAAGCCAATAGAATAGACTCTCTTGAACAGAGTCTAATTCTATTGGCTTTCAAAAGCCAATAGGGATTGTCCAGGCTGTCTCTGCCCTGCTGAGCCCGCCAAAAGTCCCATTCTGCAAACGGTGCTGCACCAGTTGAGTAGTCCTCGACTTACGACCGGTTGAGTAGTCCTCAACTTACGACCGGTTGGGGGTCGCGGCATTAAAAAGGTTGAGAACCACTGCTCTAGAAAGAGTACAGAGAAGAGCAACAAAGATGATTAGGAGACTGGAGGCTAAAACATATAAGGAACGTTTGCTGGAATTGGGAATGTCTAGTCTAATGAAGAGAAGGATGAGGGGTGAAATGATAGCAGTGTTCCAATATCTCAGGGGCTGCCACAAAGAAGAGGGAGTCAAGCTATTCTCCAAAGCAGATGAAGGCAGGACAAGAAGCAATAGATGGAAACTAACCAAAGAGAGAAGCAACTTAGAACTAAGGAGAAATTTTCTGACAGTTAGAACAATTAACCAATGGAACAACCTGCCTCCAGAAGCGGTGAATGCTCCAACACTGGAAGTTTTTAAGAAGAGACTGGACAGCCATTTGTCTGAAATGGTGTAGGGTTTCCTGCCTGAGCATGGGGTTGGACTCGATGACCTCCAAGGTCCCTTCCAACTGTATTATTATTATATATGGATCATCGCACAGTCAGCCAGATGTTCAGACTGGATTTGGCATTTTGTCTACCTATCGAGTCCTTACCCAGGACCTGGGATAGGCAGATGTGGAGGTTTGATGGTATTACAGATATCGTCGCAGGATGGAAGCAGTTCCTAGTAAGGCCGCCTTTTGCAATTGACTAATAGCAAATTTGTCAATGCCAATGGTGTTCAAGTGGTGATCCAGTTGTTTTGGGATTGCACCCAAGGAGCCTATTACTATTGGTACTACCCTTGCTTGCTTTGCCACAGTCTTTCTATTTCTATTTGTAGGTCTTTGTATTTTGTTATCTTCTCCAGTTCTTTCTCGTCTATTCTGCTGTCTCCAGGCACTGCCACGTCCTCTATCCAGACTTTTTTGTCTTTCTTATCGACAATTGTTAAGTCTGGGGTGTTATGTTGCAGGTGCTTGTCTGTTTGAATTCTGAAGTCCCAGAGCAGTTTAATTTTATCATTTTCTATGACTTTCTCTATTTTATGATCCACCAGTTTTTGCTTACAGGCAAATGATATTTTTTGCAGATCTTCCAATGCACCATTGTTGCTACTTTGTCATGCCGCTGCTTGTAATCAGTTTGTGCAATCTTCTTGCAACAGCTTACCAAGTGGTCCACTGTTTCTTCAGCTTCTTTGCATAGGCGGCACTTACTGTCTGTTGCTGTCTTCTCAATTTTGACTTTGTATGCATTTGTCCCTAAGGCTTGGTCTTGTGCAGCCAGAATTAGTCCCTCGGTCTCTTTCTTCAATTTTCCTGCTCTTAGCCATTGCCAGGTCTTGTTATTATCTGCTTTCCCAGCTATTTTTTTCATGTATTGGCCATGTAGTGCTTTGTCTTCCCATGCCTCTATTCTGTTCTTCATTTGGTCTTTCTTGTAGGCCAGTTTGGTCTCTCCAGTAGTTAGTAAGCCTTCCTGATATACTAATTTCAGTGCATCTTCATCATTGTTCTTCAGATATTCTTCCAAAGCCATTTTTTCTTCTTCAACCATCTGATGTACTTGTAGCATTCCACGCCCACCTATTTGCCTTGGTAGATAAAGTCTATCAATGTCACTGCGTGGATGAAGGGCATGATTCATTGTCATTATTTTTCTGGTCTGCCTATCCATTGCTTTTAGTTCTGCTTGAGTCCAGTCCACTATTCCAGCTGTGTACCTAATGACTGGGATTGCCCAGGTGTTGATTGCCTTTATGGTATTTCCTCCATTGAGTTTGGACTTTAAGATCTTCTTCACTCTCTTGATGTATTCACTTCTAATCTTTTCTTGACTTCAGTGTGCTTGATGTTGTCAGCTTGAAGGATACCCAAGTATTTGTAGTACTCTTCCTCATCCAGACTCTTAATGTTATTTTCGTGGGGCATCTTGATTCCTTCAGTTTTCACTATTTTTCCTTGTTTGATAGTAAGTGTGGCACATTTGTCCAAGCCAAACTCCATTACAATATCTTGGCTATATATACGGACAGTGTTGAGCAGCGATTCTATTTCAGATGATGTTTTTCCATACAGCTTCAGATCATCCATGTAAAGGAGGTGGGATAGTCTGGCAGATGTTTTTGATGTTTGATAGCCATGTCCTGAGTTATTCAGTATTGTTGACAGAGGAAACAATGCAATAACAAATAGTAATGGTGATAATGAATCTCCTTGAAATATTCCTCTCTTGATATTAACCTCTCCCAGCTCTCACCATTGATCTGCAACTGTGTCTTCCATTGTGCCATCGATCTTTGCACAAATTTTCTGATGTTTCTACTGACTCCTGTTATTTCTAGGCACTTTATTATCCAATCATGTGGCAGAGAGTCAAATGCCTTTTTGTAGTCAATCCATGCCACATTCAGGTTGGTCTTCCTTCTCTTGCAGTTTTCCAAGATCATTTTGTCTATTAGGAGTTGATCTTTTGTTCCTCTGCTATTGGGGCGGTTTCCTTTCTGCTCAGGTGGAAAGAGATTGTTTTCAACTAGATGCTGTTGCACTGCATCAGCTACTACACCAGTTAGTAATTTGAAAGTTGTTGGTAAGCAGGTAATTGGCCTGTAGTTACCTGGTGTTGCCCCTTTTGCTGGATTTTTCATTATTAGGTAGGTTTTCCCAGTTGTTAGCCACTTTTCAATTTCTCCACCTTGTAGTATATTGTTGAACTGCTTGGCAATGAGTGGGTGTATAACAGTTAGATGTTTCAACCAAAACCCATGCAGTTCATCTTCACCTGGTGCTGACCAATTTTTGATTTTCCTTGCTCTTTTTTCTACCATTTTTGTTGTTATTACTAGTTCTTTCATTTCAACTTCTGTTTTATTTGCATCCACCTCTTTTAACCAAGCCGCATCCTTGTTGTATTTCTTTGGGTTATCCCATATCTGCTTCCAGAACTGCACTGTTTCTTCCTTGTCAGGTACTGACTGATTCATTATAACTGCAGCTGTGCTGTACATTAATTGGTTTGTTTCTTGCGGTGCTTATACTTGATATTGCAGTATTTGCATCTTTTAATGCTTGTGCTAGCTGTTTCTTTGGAACAAGCTTCAATGCAAGCAGCCTTATTCTGTTGTTTTTGTGCTGTTCTAGATGCTCAGTTATTCTTTGTTTCAATTCTTTTATTTCTTTAGTTAGAGGGTTTTGTTCTTCCTGAGGAAGAGGTGCCTGGTTTCCAAATGAGAACAGTTGTATATCTCTGCTGGATTCCTTCACTGCCAACTCCCCCTGGTTTGCCTCTACATTCTGAATTACTTCTGGTAAGGCTTTGATTTCTTTGCCCTGAGTAAACCTTTGCAGTTCGTCCAATTCTGTTTCTGTGAATACTTTATTTCGTATTATAAATCGGCGTTGATCTGCTAGTCTCTGTTCTGTTATTTCTGATTCTGGATGTTGTTCTTTCCAGAACTGGTGCATTCGTTTTGGATATCCTCTTCTTGTTGGACTTGATCTTTTCAATCACTGTGTATCTGCGACGGGTAGACACCTTTTCTTCCAGTAGTTCTGCAGCTGCTGGCCCTGGTTGCTCGCCAACAGTCCTGAGTCCTGTAACCCATTTTTCACCAGATATCCAGGAACTCCAATATCTAGCGCAGACCTTGTTAACCCGCGCGACATCCGAGCCGGTATGGCATTCTGAAATTTACGTCTCACCATATTTTTTATGGGAGAGACAGTCTTTGTCTGACTCCTCTGATGAGCCCTGTCCAGTATGGTTGAACCTCTGGCATAGCTCTCATCTTCCTCAGAGTACACAAGCCCCACAACCACATCAAGGTAGTGCCTCACTGGGGGATGATGATGATGATGATGATGATTAACCTTCCTCCAGAAGCTGTGAATGTTCCAATATTGGAAGTTTTTAAGAAGAGGCTGGACAGCCATTTGTCTGAAATGGTATAGGGTTTCCTGCCTGAGCAGGGGGTTGGACTAGACCCTTCCAACATTATTATTATTATTATTATTATTATTATTATTATTATTATTGTTGTTGTTGTTGTTGTTGTTGTTGTCGTTGTCGTTATTGTTATTATTATTATTATTAAAAGGAAATCCATCTCACCATTTTAAAATGTTTGCAAAAAGCTTTTTTCACATAGTTCAAACAAAGCTACATGTATCCACTTTCATATTTATAGCTATATTATAGGTATGTTAGTGAATGTAGGGAACATTCATGCATAGTTATATGAATAAATTACAATTTATGTGCAAGGAAATTTATATAAGTGATAAAATTTCAATTATCAGTGGCTGTCTGGTTTTTTACAACTCAGCTATGGTAGCCATAAAATTTTACATTGTCAATAAAATATGTTTTTATATGAGCATGATGTTTACATATGAGATTATACATAGATTCATTCCAATGCATCTACTGCAATAATGAAATAGTTCTAAAAAAACTTTGTCTTTGTTTCCTTTAGCTAGAGGAAATGTTAAAGTGTGTGGAGAATTCAATTTTGCAACTGATCCTGAAGCTGCTTACATTGTCTTAAATGAGTACACCTGTCCAATGTATATTGCAGCCTGGGAGTTCACCTGTGCCTGCTCACTGCCCTGGGTAAGATAATTCTCTGCTCTTTTGTCTGTGCTGGGAATTAGTTTCACTGAATTCAATCTGGTTTCATTCTGTGTAGATAGGTAGGTTAATTAAACTAGGTTGCATAGACTCATTCTACTTGCTTCTGGAATGGCATGCAGCCTCTGCTGTTAGGAAGGTCAAGCAGAGGAGCAGCTGATTCCCAAAGATCTACCAAAAAAGATAAGTGACCAATCAATGCTGGGGAATGGAGAGGAAAGTGTGAGACCCAGTGGGATGGGAAAGCAGGCTCAAAATAGGATGGGATGAAGAAAACAGACAGTTGGTCTCAAGGGCAGGGAGATTGCCAAATACCAATTTTTTTTCATATGACCGTTGAATGAATAGCCATAAGTCAAGGAATACTTGTTCTTTTAAGTGCGTCAAAGAAACATATTGAAGACTTCTAGGCTAATAACTTCAACATTCATCATAGCCTTACATTCAACCACTGAATTATTTTATTGTGATCAGCTGTTCTGCAGGCTTTTAAAGTGCAGTGAAAAGTGTAGAGAATATTAAGATTTTTTATTAGGAATATGAAACTAGTTGATGCTTTATAGCAGTGCTCCCGAACCTTTTAGGTACTAGGGACAGGTTCTGTGAAAAGAGGGTTTTACCATGGACCCAAAGGGCCTTGGTTTCTGGCATGCAATGGACCGGAGGCTGGGGAACCTTGTTTTTAGCTATCAATAATACTTATATCTATTTTGTTTAATTTCACCAACTCTAGTTGGCTTCCATAAAAATATAATTAAAATTATAAAAATGATTGAAAACATTTGTTATTGTATACCATTTATCAGAAAAAGAAATTTCCTGTTGTAAAGCATCCCCACTCATTCTAAATTCATTTTTGAAAAACTTGCAGAGATGCACATTTAAAGGATTCCCAAACAGGCAACAATCCCAAAATTGTGTTCCTTTCCACACTTAGCACCTTCACTGGCTATTTAAGAACACATGCTACATTGATTTATCCACTGCATTGAAATTAAGAATCTTTGATATCAGTGCATATTATAATCTTCTTCTCTAATTTGGAATAATAGGGCTTTGTTTCTTTTTTTTCCTCCCCAAGGTTTTACTAGGGCTTTTAGGTGTTTCTTTATCACAAATTCCTCTCTGCTGTCCAAAAATTTAAGGCAATGTACATATTTTCTCTGTCATGGCAGCCTTGTGAGATATCATAGTCTGAGAGACAGTGACTGTTCTAAAGTCTTCCAATTAGCTTCTGGAATTTAAGTCAGATCTTCCCAATTCAGTCCTAAATCCTAAAGACTATACCATTTTGGCTTCTATTGGAATGTTGTAATACAGGCTTGGATACTGCATCTAATTTCTTGATTCTCACTTTAGCCTTTTTTTTTTTTCCCAACATCTTTTCTGTTCAATATGCTTTGATGAGTCAGTCTTCCCATAAGCTTATAAATATTGTTTTAGGTACAAAAGGCAAAATAGGTAAGATGTTTTTATAGGAAGGTTTCGCCCCCTTCATATTCATTGAAAATCTTTTCCTTTTTGTCTTTCTTGATTTTATTTATTATTTTTTGTCTCTTAAGATCTCATAATTCTCCTGGCAAAATCCATTTTACCAAATCTTTTTTCTTGTCCTCAAACTTATTTTGTAATCTTAAAGTGTAGTTTGTCTTTTCCATGTCCAGAGTTCCCTGTAAAAAAATTTTCGATCTGGATTAAGTCATATTTCTTAGTATTGTTAAATTCCATCTTAAAATGTCTCTCCTCTGTCTCATAATCAGCTGTCTATTTTCTCTGCTCACTCTCTATTTTAATTTTCTGGGAGTTTTTATGTTGTAAAGTTAAATTGGAGATGTGTTCATTTATATTTTCAAGGTTATGTTTAATTTCCTCGTGCTTTGAGATTATTATTATTTGGATTAGTTACAACATAGCATAGATCTCCTTCTGGAAAGTATTTGTTTTTTCTTGATATATTCTTTCTGCAGATCTCTGTTTTTCCATTATAGCCAAAAATCAGGTTTCCCTTTCTCTGCAGATGGCTTTAGAGTTACAGTTGAGTTAATATTTGTAATCCAGAAAGGTCAATTCTTTTTTTTTAAGTTTATAATTCTCACTTTATAGAAAGCCCAAGATGTTTCCTTTTTTTTTGTCACAATTGTTCTTTGTTATTAAGACATTGAAGGTCACCAAGATCAAATTTATCTTTTCCTGGGCCTTGCCAATCTCTGTAGTAATTTTTTTTTAATTAAAAAGTTTTATTAATAATTACATAATAAACCCAATATCCCACCCCCCTACCCTCCCCCACCACCACCACTTCCCGGAACCAAATACAGGGTATATCAAACATATTAAACATAATCTAATTAAGTTAACAAATATATTAATCATAATCTAAAAAAGTTTAACAATGTACAACAATTAATATCATACTTAACCCTTAACTCCCTTTAAACCTTATTATTAATAATACTTATTTTTTAATCATAAAATAAATGGAACTTTTCAGTTCCATGTTTAATCTGAATATAATCTATCCATCTTCTCCATACCATAATATATCTTTCTTGGGTATGATCCTTTAAATAAGCACAAATTTTAGCCATTTCTGCCAAATTGGAAACCTTAAATGTCCATTCTTCTAATGTAGGCAACGAATCTTTCTTCCAATATTGACCTATCAATAACCTTGCCGCTGTAATTAAATTCAACAATAAAATAATTTCTTTAACATCAAAATCCTCAAAAATCCCTAATAAAAATAGTTGAGGAGTAAACTTTATCTTTCTTTTAAAAATATTTTGAATGTTCCATCAAATCATAATCCAAAAGGCCTTAATATTTTTACAAGTCCACCAAATATGAAAATAAGTTGCATCAGAACTACCACATCTCCAACATTTGGGCTGTAAATTAGGATACATACAAGATAACTTTTTAGGATCCAAATGCCACCTATAAAACATTTTATAAAAATTTTCACTTAAATTTTGAGCCTGTGTAAATTTAACATTTCTAATCCAAATTGTCTCCCATAAATCCAATGGGATTGATTCCTGAATATTCTGAGCCCATTTCACCATACAATCTTTAACCAATTCCGTTTCCGAATCCAATTCTATTAAGATATTATAAATTCTTTTTATATGAGCCTTGTTCTGATCTTTAATCTGTATTATCAGATTTTCATCTCCTAATGTTATCTCCACTTTCTTGTCTAAAGTCCACCTTTCCACTATTTGTAAATATTGAAACCATGACTGTAAAATGTTCTCTTGTCTTAATACCTCCAAAGACTTTAATTGCCAGTCATTACCTGACCATATAAGTAATTCTTTATATGAATTTTTTTCCAAAATTCATCCCCTTCGATATCCCCTCTATTGCATGTCCAGGAATCCCCCAAATAGGTATTTTATAATTTAACCTATAATAATATTTCTTCCAAACTCGAAGTAGGGCACTTCTTAAAATATGCGATTTAAAAGCCCGATCAACTTTCTTAGTAAAAATTAAGTATGCATGCCAACCATATAATAAATCCCACCCTTCGAGAGAAAGAATATTTTTATTTGTTAAATTAAGCCAATCACTTATCAAAGTTAATGCGGCTGCATCATAATATAATTTCAAATTAGGTGCTTTAAGCCCTCCTCTTTCACAAGCATCTTGCAAAATCTTAAACTTCACCCTTGGTTTCTTCCCAGACCATATAAATTTATTGATTCCCTTCTGCCACTCATCCAAATTAGCATCTTTTTTTAAAATAGGTATCATTTGAAACAAAAAGAGAAACTTTGGTAGAACATTCATTTTAACAGCTGATATTCTCCCCAACAACGACAATTGCAATTTTTCCCAATCGTTTAAATCCTTTTGTACTTTTGTCCATAATACTCCATAATTATTCTTATATAATTTTCCATTAGAAGCAGTTATAAACACTCCCAAATATTTAACCTTCTTCACTATCTGAAAACCTGTAAGTCTAACTAAAGTTTCATTATCCTTCTCAGTCATATTCTTAGATAATATCTTAGTCTTATTGTTATTAACTTTAAAACCAGAAACTTTTCCATATTGAGTTATAAGTTCCAATAGATAACTAACCGATTGAATCGGTTGTTGTAAAATTAAAACCAAATCATCTGCAAAAGCTCTCAATCTATAATCATTATTATTTATTTTTATTCCCTTAAGTAATGTAGAGTCTCGAATTTGAATTAACAAAATCTCCATTGTCAACACAAATAACAAAGGAGATAATGGACAACCTTGTCTTGTACCCTTTTCAATATTAAAAGTCTCTGTCAATCCCCCATTAATAATAATTTGAGCAGACTGCTGATGATATATAGCCTTGAGAGCGTGTAAAAACTTATCTCCAAAATTCATTTTTTCAATTAATAAAAATAAAAATTTCCAGTCTAATTGATCAAAAGCTTTCTCAGCATCCAAAAATATAAAAGCTGCAGGAATCTGATTATTCTTATCCAAATACTCAATTAAATTAATAATTTGTCTTGTATTATACTTCATGTACCTTCCTGTTATAAATCCTGATTGATCACTATGAATTAAATCCTTCACAACCTGCATTAATCTATTTGCCAAAATTTTAGAAAAAATCTTATAATCTACATTTAAAAGAGATATAGGTCTATAATTTTTAGGTTCAGTAAGATCCTGATCCTCCTTAGGAATTAATGATATAAAAGCCCTCCGCCAAGAAGGAGGAATCGAAGCTCCCAACAATATACCATTAAAAAGTTCTTTTAATGGCTCTATCATTTCTTAACCTAACATTTTATAGTACTTAGCCGTTAATCCATCTGTGCCAGGAGCCTTTCCAATCTTTAACTGTTTAATAGCAAAACCAATTTCCTCTGAAGTAATTAAACAATTCATCACGTTTTGTTGTTCAATAGAAAGTTTAGGAAAATGTACTGATTGTAAATACTTCTCTACATCTAAAGCCTGTATATTATTACTAGCATATAATTTTGTATAAAAATCTAAAAACACTTTTTAATCAAATCTTGTTGATAAACTTCACTACCTTTATATTTTACTTTCTCTATAATTCTAGCCTTCTGTTTTTTACGTAATTGATAAGCCAACCACCTCCCTGGCTTATTGGCATTACAAAAAGTATTATGTTTCATATAATGCAAATTAGTTGCAACCTGATCTGCCATTAACATATTAAATTGCTCCTTAAGCAAATTTATAGAAACCTTTAACTTATTATCCATTGGATTTAAAACAAGACCCTTTTCTTTAGATTTAATCTCTTCTTCAATTTCTTTACGTTTTTGAGTCCATTTTGACCTAAAAGCATTATTCATATGAATCAAGACCCCCCTCATGTAAGCTTTACTAGCGTCCCACACCATAGACATTGAGGTGCCCTTATTTATATTTAAAACAAAAAACTCCTTCAAATGTTCTTTGCATTTCTGCACCAGTTCCTCGCGTGTAAATAAATTTTCATTCAGCCTCCAAGATCTTCTATTCCCATCTTCCATAAATAACTCCAACCAAACTGGACTATGATCAGATAAAGTCCTAGGAAAAATCTTGACTTTTTTAACCCTAGAAAGAAAATCAGTAGTAATCAAGAAAAAATCAATCCTGGAGAATGATTGGTGTCTGTCAGAATAAAAAGTAAAATCTTTTTCATTTAAATTCCTCTCTCGCCAAATATCAGTAAGTTCCAAATCATCTTTCATATCAAAAAAAGCTTTTGGCAATCTAGTTTGATTAAGAATTTTAAAAGAACCCTTCTTATCCTTCCTTGTATCCAAAACTCCATTCCAATCACCCATCAAAATCACCGATTTATAATCCAACTGATTTATTTTACCATGCAAAAACTTATAAAATTGTTTCTGTTGTTGATTTGGAGCATATAATCCAACAATAAGGAATTTCTTGCCTTGCGATACCAACTCAATAATAACATATCTTCCTTGAGAAACAGAGTCACTTAGTTTGGCCGATAAGTTTTTTTAAGATAAATTACAACTCCCCCTTTTTTTCCCTGGGGCAGGAGATATAAAATGCAAACCTAAACGAGAATTTATCAAGTATTTGGAGTCTTTCAAAGTTATATGAGTTTCTTGTAAACATATAACGTCATTGTTATAATGTTTCAAATAATGAAATACTTTGTTCCTTTTCTGTGGTGAATTCAAGCCATTAACATTCCATGTCAGAAACTTTGACATCAGAAGCTGCTTTAAGCCTTTGAAGCATAACTTGTAGATCAGCTGTAGAAGATCTCTTTGGTCTTGCTCCTCCCACAGGCTCTGTAACAATAGTTCTTCTATTTTTTCACTGGCCTTTTGCTTCTGTTTTTTTCCCCTGCGTCTATGCGCAGCCCGAGTCATCCTTTGTTCTTTAATCTCTGAAACCTATAGAGCAGGCTCCGCTTGCAAATCACTGGCAATAGCACCTCCAATTACTTGTTCGTCTCCAGTTTTGCTAGCTTGAGGGGATACGGACGAAACAGCCTTCAGAACGGTAGAATAAAAATCTTTTGCCTTTAACACTGTATTTAATCTGTAACGCCTTCCTAGGTAGTTCACCACTATCCCAGCTGGAATTTCCCATCTGAACTGCATTTGACGACGTTTAAGCTCCTCCGATAAAAAAGTAAAATCTTTAGTAATATTTTTATCACCACTAGATGTCAGAACCAATTCTTTTGGTAATAAACACTTATTTACTTCTGTTTTGATGATATAAAAGGAAAATCTTAACAGATTCCACCGATTTCAAACTTATCCAAATTAATCTTATTTTTTTTATTTCAATATATTTCTATTCCCCTGAAAGGTTTAATTCACCACTTCCGTCTGCGGGAGGGTGGGGCAAAAGTCCCCCTCCTCATTTTCAGAGGCTTTTTGCTTCTTGGGGTTTTTCTTTTTTCTTTTTTACAGGAAATCAATTTCTAAATAGAAGAGAGAAAATCACTGTTCTTACCCAAAATTCCAAACACATTGTTTACAGTCAGCTTGAAGGAGTACTTTTGGACTTCGGTTGCTTGTAGCTTGAGCTAGACTCGGAAGTTGAGCTACCCTCTTTTCCTGCCAGTTTCTGGAGGCTTTTCCCAAACCAATCGGATCGACCACCGTCTCTCCGCACTCGATGGGACTTCTCCCCTTCTGTGTTTCCTCTATAGAGCAACTTCAGGCCCATTTAGGATCCCCTGGCAGGCAGAAATCAGTTGTAGGGAGCAGAGCCCTGCGATCCCTCGGCTGCTGCACTACTATGCAAAACCAGAAGTCTCCCATGAAATGTTTTTAAATGCATAGGTACATACATCCATACACTATAGAAACATTGCTATAAAAATTTTGCAAAAGTTTTGTATTGCATTTGTACCTTTTTTTAAATAAAACATCTCCTAAGGCAGAACATTTTATTAATAAGTTAGCAGTTCATCTTTTATTGGATTTATGCTCTCTATAGTAGTAAACTTATTTTTCCTGTTTGGGAGGCTTGCAGGGCAACGTGGTTGCCTTAGGCCTGCCTCAAAGTCCCCAAAACAAAATGCGGGCAGAAAATCCAAGCCTACTCATTCCAGTGACATAACATTATTGGGTCTGCTTCTTTTGGCTTCTAGCAAGGTAGATGTGACTCCTCCAGGGTGATTGCCCATTGATCTCCCCCCCCCTTTTATTAGATAATTCCCTCTTTGGCTGGTTTTTAATGTTCAACATTGTTCTTTCCTTCCTAGGAATTCTACCATGAATGGGTAAATCAGGATACTGAGAAAGCCAGGTTCATGAAGAAAATATTTGCTCATTCTTTAAAAATCGCAAAGCCTCATTTAGGCTTTGTTTCTTGCGACTCTTATGCCATGGCTGCTGCCATTGATGAAAACTTTGTCACAGAAATCACAGTAATTGGCGTAAGTGTTGAGCTTAGTGGCTGTCTAACCAGAGGAATGATGGTAATGGATTGGTCTGATCATCTGAAAAAGGAACACAAAGCATTTGTAATGAAAAACTGTGATTTAGAAAAATTCCAGGGGCTTATGATGGATGCTTTGAAATAAAAGGGGCTTATGAGGTTCTATTCCAAATATTTATGTTGTTATTGCTGCTGGGCAAACCAAGGTTTGCCTGAAACACTATAATAGCCTCCCATGCAAAAGGTTCTAATTGAATTCTTTTCTAATTGTTCTGAAGTATAAAATAATCTTTTAACATTTTTGCCAGCATGAAAAATACACTTTGAACTTCTTTTTCTCTTCCTTTGCACTACAATCAACTGAATCCTGTTCACTGAGTTCTCTATAGTCATGAACTCTTCAGGACGATAAGAATTATGCATCCCTAGAAAGTATTCAGGAAAGGGGTCCTTTGAGCAAACACTATAAATTTAAAAATAAAATAATGTCTCCAGCATGATGTCTATCTTCCCCCTCGTCTGAAGCACTACAAGATGTTGATACAGGCACCATTTGATCAATATTATATTTTTTCTTAAAAATCTAAAAATAATACACAGTCAATTTTAATGGAAATATGGTATTCAGTTTGCTTGGGTGGATAAAGCATTCAGTTACAATTTACAATTTATAAAAGCTGTCTTAAAATAAAAGAGCACATGATAAATAGCGGAGAATACTTTGATACGTTCAAATTATTTCATTTGGTACAAGTTAGAAACAAGGATAGTGCAGAAAATGATGCTGCATATCCATGGTGATGTTGCCACAGATATCTTCCTGTGGTGAGATTAGCAAATGAGAGGACTGACATTCTAAAGCAGATTGTCCCTTCTACTAAAACTTGGGTAGATCAGTATGATTCCATATCTATGCCATTTTTAGTATACCACTTGGCATATAACTGCTTGTGTTATAGCTGTCTTCTGCTTCCAATTGAAATTTTCAATAAATGCCATTGGTATGAGAAGCATATCCTACTTTAAAACTAATATCTGCTAATAAAACAATGGCAACATTACTGTACAATAGCATGTATTTTCAGTTAGCAAATACTTTTCTTATGCACTTTTTGGTGATATTATTACTAGCCGTAGAAAACACTCAACAAGACTTGCTGTAATTATTTGTAGAACTATCATTACGCCAAGTTGAATGTTGCTATGATCTAAGGCACAATTTTCAAGATAATCAAGGTATGCCAATGGAAAATGTGAAAGATCTGAGTGGCTCAAAAAACTCCTTTATTTGAAATAATTGAGCTTTCACTACACAATACAATTTGTGCTTATTTAGCAGAATATGCCAAATCTATCACTTACTGAAATCCTTTCCAATCCCACCCAAAAACTGTGGTGCAATGTGGTGCCTAGTTGCAGAGGGGAGGAGGTTTTTCCCAAGAAACTAAGGCAAATCACCCTGGAACTCTTGATATTCAGGAAGAGGTCCAGAGTAACTGTTCATAGGGATATCTAATAGTTATGCAGATTATGTTTTAGTCTGGCAAGATTCCTGTCTAAAGGTGAGCAACAATAAACTACTCTGAGTGAATCATTGTGTCGTTCTTGATTCCTTGTACCTGACTGAAATTCTCAGAACAATCACCTATTCACCATATCTACTCTTGTAGGAAAAATTTAAGAATCACATTTTTCTAAAAGGAAAATGACTCTGAATTTAAAAATGTAAGAAAGATATGGGACTCTGTTTATTCAGGCAAATAATAAGAGCAAATCTTCAGCCCTCCCTATTTTGCAGCAGAGATGTTTGCAGCCATTTGCATTTCTTGCTTGTCTTTTTCTTTTCAACAGCTTTCTATTTTTCATGGGTAAATCTGTTTTCTCCGCAGTCACAGAACATTATTTGGGGGAAAAAAAATCAACTTTCTGTTAACTAATGTCAAGTAAATAATACATAATTAAAATATTCTTCATGTACCTGCATATCTTCCTTTTACCATTTTGTAGATTAACCAAAGAAAGCAGTTTGGTGTAAGGCATCAGGCTAGAAACTGGGAGACTGAGTTCTTGTTCCACCTTAAGCATGAAGCCATCTAGTGATTTTCTCTCATCCCTAGAAAGCAGACAATCACAAACCACTTTTGAAAACCTCACCAAGAAAATTTCAGGGATTTGTCCAAGCAGTCTTTGAGAATTATATACAGGGAGTCCTCAACTTACAATAGTTCGTTCAGTGGCTGTTCAAACTTACAACGGCACCGGAAAAAGTGACTTATGACCATTTATCACACTTACAACCATTGCAACATCCCCATGGTCACGTGATCAAAATTCAGACACTTGGCAACTGACTCCTATTTGGGATGGTTGCAGTGTCCTGGGAGTCATGTGATCCTCTTTTGCAACCTTCTGACAAGCAAAGTCAGTGGGGAAGCCAGATTCACTTAACAACCATGTCACTAACTTAAAAACTGCAGTGATTCACTTAACAACTGTGGCAAGAAAGGTTATAAATGGGGCAATATTCACTTAGCAATAGAAATGTTGGGCTCAGTTGTGGTCCTAAGTTGAGGGCTACCTGTACAACTGAATGGAAAAAAAAGAGCCTTTTTAGGCATAGATCTGTCAATTGTTTTATAATTTGTATAGCCAAATGAACAGGATAGTATCTGTTTATCCATCATGTATGACTTTCATTAGAGGAAAATAAGAGAAGAGGGAAATATACATTTCATATCTTTTAACTGTGCTGCTATTCTCAATTTGTGTTTAAAAATTTATTTGCAAGTTTGTTTGGAATATTACATCACAATAGCTTTTTCCCCTCTTCCTCTATTATTTAACAGAAAAGAAAGGAAATGCTTACAGTTTTAAATTATTTAGCCAATAAAGTAACCAATGTGATTGCTTTTGCTATAACTGGATTGATAGGATTGAAGTAAGAGCAAGATCTGGAGGACTGCATAAGAAAAAAGATAGAAAAAAAAATAGCAACAGAATTTAGGGACTGGAATAATGGCCAGAAAAAGAAATTCAGATGTCAAAGAAAAGGAAGGAACATAATTATGGGAAGACACTATGAAAGGGAAGGTTGACAGAAATGGAAGATACAGTAATTTAATTAAATTTTTTAGGTGCGGAAACTTGTCTTCAATTTCTAAATTTATAAAGTGTTGCAAAAATCAGGCCCAGTTTGCAATATGTTTTATTATGTGATCCAGTGAACTCTTACTGTCTTTATCAACATTTGAAGCTCATTAATCAAACAAATGAGACATTTAGAAGAAAATGACAATAAACTGAAACATTTAATGCAATGCATGCAACAAATTATCTATGGGCCTGACACTTGGTATACCCTCCATATTACTAAATCCTAGAAATGTTTGTTTTTACCTAATATTTATATGTTGGGTTATAAGCAAACATCATTTCTTATTTCTTACTTCCGTATTGTAGATGCATTAACATATACCACACCATTCTAGGTTGCATCACAAATGGCAACATTTAGTATCTGATCCACAGCCCATATTATCCCAAAAGATATTTTTAGTGAAGCAACCTAAGATAAAAATGTTGTTTGCTATCAATTCTAAAGCAATCTCCCAGGAGGGTCCCTTTTTATAAAGAAAACATATAGACTCTAGAACAAAGTCTCATAAACTAGGGGTGACATGATAGCAATGTCCCAATATTTGAAGGGCTGCCACAAAGAAGAGGGAGTCAAGCTATTCTCCAAAGCACCTGAAGGCAGGACAAAAAGCAATGGATGGAAACTTATCAAGGAGAGAAGCAATCTAGAACTAAGGAGAAATTTCCTGACAGTTAGAACAATTAACCAGTGGAACAACCTGCCTCCAGAGGTTGTGAATGCTCCAACACAGGAAATTTTGAAGAAGAGATTGAACAATGATTTGTCTGAAATCATGATTTCCTGCCTGAGAAGAGAGTTGGACTAGAAGACCTCCAAGGTGCCTTCCAATTCTGATTTTCTGTTATGTTTTCTAAACAGAAGGATTAATAAGCTCCTCCTTTTATTCTTATGGGCTTTCCCCCCCATTTGAAATTAGGGCAGATGCTTTGCTAAAATAATTAACTGGCAGACATTCTTATTGCAATGTTTCAAAGGAAGTAATTTAGATTACAACACATTCTAATCAGACTACAATATAATCTAGGCTAACTAAGCAACTGAACTAATCATAATCTTCATTTTTTTCTTTCCTCTTTTTCAATTTTATGTACTTTTTGATTCATGTACATTAGACTTTGTAGGCCCAAAGGGACGGATTCTGGAAACATTTTTACATTAAGAACAAAGTAATCTGCACTGATTAAATAAGTAAAATATATAATATAATCTTGGGCTAGAGGCAAGAAGGGAACTAATGAAGTTTAATCTTAGTATAACTAAGTTTGGATCCATTCTTAAGCATAGAAAAACAAGGATAGCAGAATATTAGATAACCATTTTTATAGCCATAAGGTGGCGCTGGTAGCGTTTGACAAAAGTCCTTAAGACACAGAAATGAAAATCAAATTCCAAGAACCTATGTTGACAGAGCTTGCTTCCTCAATCTATCAGTTTGTAGAACGACTGTGCATGAAGCAGAGGTTTTGTTTGCACCTTTTCCCAAATGAATCTTAATCTGAAATCTTGTTTGATTTGTAATATTGTTCAGCATATTTCTAAATAGTAAATCTTGTATGCAGATGCTGTACTGCCCAGAGTTTTGCACTTGTATATTTCAAAGAAATCCTGCCATTCAAGAGGATAAGATTCAGGCGCAAAAGATGGTAATTATAAACATATTAGATCCTTAGGAACAAATGCTGTTTTTAAAATTATTTTTTCTTTCCTTTTTCCTTTAAAAAAAAATGCTTGCAGAGTCAGTCGACAAGATAGGTATTCAAAAAAACTCAGAACTAGTTCTATGCCCATCTATTTGATATCTGCACTTCATCCAGTTTTTATTCCTCTAATCAAGAACTACAGTTCTCAAGAGGGCAGGATTATTAGGTTATTCCAAACATTCAAAGAGACTTTCCTTTGTTTTCTAAGAAGTTTTATTATATGTATTGTTCTTCAGCAATCTTTTCAAAACAAAAAAGACATTTACTGAAAAAATTGCTATCAATATTTCACTTTCCTAAGACAATGATTTCAAAGGCAATGATATCATACTTACCTCCTTCAAGGATAAATATCTCTGCACACTTTCTATCCAATCAAACTTTGAGAATCACTTATTTATTCATAATATTACCTTTCTGTTCAAATGTGCTTAAGGTACCAAGTTTATTTTAAAAAACAAAAATAACAGGGAAAGTTAAATATGGATTGAATGAATTTAAATATGCAAACAAGATTTAGGTAGGCTGCCTCAAAAGGCTTTATCCCTTTCCAAAAATTGCATGGATTTTAAGTATGAGAGTCTTGTAGGGTTTTCAGCCATTTCAGAAAAGACCTTTGAAATATTAAATAGCATGTCTATTCAGGCACTTAAAATAGATTTTGTAAAGGACAGAAATGCCTTATAAATGAGAAGACAATAGTAGATAGTAGAAATTAAAGTTGCAATGAATAGGGTAACGAGGTAAAAATGGTGCCAGGATTTCCCATTTTATTCATTTTGGGTAGTGGGATATTTACAAAGATTTTAAGCCTATTCTAGAACTTATACAAGAATTTTCAGGAGTCCCTCATCTGAAAATGATGGCAAACTGAACTTTTTTTAAAATAATATTTTATTAGTTTTCTAATTTTACAATTAAGTATTTAAAAAGCAACGTGATGACTGGGTTAATCAATAGTTCAATAACATATATCAATCTTTAGTATAAATCTCAAGTTACAACATCAGACATTTCCTCTTTTTTTCCCTTAATATCTACTATCTCATATTAGGCCAATACAGTTCTTATTGTTATCAACTAAGTAAAAACATCTTTGTTACATTTATCAATAATTTTTAGCTTATACATATCTTAATTATGTTTGCATTCAATCCTTATATACAATCAATGTCCTGTTATTGCTTTCTTCCCAAGCTTTAATTTCCCATTAATATTCAAATTAACATTTGGTATTTATAATTCCAAGCTTTAGGTAACCAAAGTTTCCCTTATCTCAACTTCTTCCTTTTTCCCTTTTCATAACAAAATCTAATATTCTAAATACACATCTATTTGAATATAGTCTTATTCTGTTTTCTAAAAGTTATCTATTTTCCACCATATTAAACCATCTAATTAATAATACAGTATACCCTCTAATAGATCAAAACCATTATATGTATTGTCTGGGTTAACCAATAAATCAGTAATATACATAAATTTTTTCGTTTAGGTCTAATTTTTAAAAGCTCAAATACTCCCTCTCTTTTTCTGGTAATATCTATTATCTCATATTGGGCAAACAGAATTCTTATTTTCAACTGATTTCCAAATATTTTATATTAGGTGACCAACATTTCCGTTATCTCAATTTCTTCCTTTTTCCCTTCTCATACCAAAGTCTATTACTCTTGTTACACATCTTACCTATTCAATTATAATGTTACTTTATTTTCTAAAAATTATCTATTTTCCACCATATTCAACTCTCTAGTTAGTAATATGAAATCCCCTCTAATAAATCAAAACCCTTATTTTCTTCAGCCTTATTCTGGCTTTCTTCCTTTGCCAACTAGCCTTCCACATCAATGCTTTTGAATCATCAAATAGTTCTCCATTATTATATATATTATTTGGAATAAGAAAGACCAGTTGGTTGCAGGTTTTTTGGAAGAACTAGCCATTTGTATTCATTAAATCACCTCCCTATTACTCCAATTTCCCACAATTGTCCTGATAGGTTTATCCAGGAAATTACAGACCTATCAGCCAGACCTCAATACCTGGGAAGATCCTGGAAAAGATAATCAAACAATGAATCAACGAACACCTAGAGGCAAACAAAGTCATTACTAAAAGCCAACATGGGTTTATCAAAAATAGATCATGCCAGACAAATCTTATTGCATTCTTTGACCAAGTGACAAAATTAGTGGATCAGAAGAATGCTGTGGACATAATTTACTTGGACTTCAGTAAGGCATTTGATAAAGTAGATCACAACCTACTACTTGATAAGATAGAAAAATGTGGGTAGACAGAATCACCACCAGATGGATCCGTAGCTGGCTGACCAGCCGTACTCAGCAAGTGGTCCTCAATGGAACTGCATCTATATGGAGGGAAGTGTGTAGTGGGGTACCCCAGGGCTCTGTTCTGGGCCCAGTGCTCTTCAACATCTTCATCAACAATTTGGATGAAGGGATAGATGGGGAACTCATCAAATTTGCAGACGACACCAAGCTGGCAGGAATAGCCAACACTCCAGAAGACAGGCTTGAACACTGGGCACTAACTAACAAAATGAAATTCAATGGTGAACAAAGCAAGGTTCTACATTTAGGCAAGAAAAACCAAATGCACAAGTACAGCATAGGTGGCACCATGCTCAATAGTAGTAACTGTGAGAGGGACCTCGGAGTCCTAGTAGACAATCACCTAAATAGGAGCCAGCAGTGTGCTGCAGCTGCCAAAAAGGCCAACACAGTGCTAGGCTGCATTAACAGAGGGATAGAATCAAGATCACGTGAAGTATTAATGCCACTCTACAATGCCTTGGTAAAGCCACACTTGGAATACTGCATCCAGTTTTGGTCACCACGATGTAAAAAAGATGTTGAGACTCTAGAAATTCTAGAGTACAGAGAAGAGCAACAAAGATGATTAGGGGACTGGAGGCTAAAACATATAAGGAACGGTTGCTAGAATTGGGTATGTCTAGTTTAACAAAGAGAAGGACAAGGGGGGGACATGATAGCAGTATTCCAATATCTCAGGGGCTGCCATAAAGAAGAGGGAATTAAGCTATTTTCCAAAGCACCTGAAGGCAGGACAAGAAGCAACGGGTGGAAACTAATCCAGGAGAGAAGCAACCTAGAACTAAGGAGAAACTTCCTGACAGTGAGAACAATTAATCAGTGGAACAACCTGCCTCCAGAAGCAGTAAATGCTCCAACTCTGGAAGTTTTTAAGAAGAGACTGGACAGCCATTTGTCCGAAATGGTGTAGGGTTTCCTGCCTGAGCAGGGGTTTGGACTAGATGACCTCCAAGGTCCCTTCCAACTTTACTACTACTACTACTACTACTACTACTACTACTACTACTACTACTACTATTATTATTATCTTCCATTCAATCTGTTCTTCTTCCTTTTCCTCAAATTTCTTCTTATTTTTGTAAAAAGTCTTTTCCATTTTCAGTGGTCACTCCCTTTTCTGATTTTTCCGTCAGCTGGATCTGTTGGTCAATTGAGTCCTCTGTCTTAGTATTTAGTTGTTTCACTTCTGTTATTTTCTGCATTGTTAGTTCTTTGGTTGTAGTCAAGATCTGGGTTTGTATATTTAAGCTGGCATTTTGTTCCTTTATGTTGCATCTTATTTTGTCACAAGCTGAAAGAATGGTTTAGTGTATGGATTTCAACACGGAGAGGATTTTTTTCCTGATCTTCATCCATATTCTCTTGATAGTATGTTACGTTGAAGACTTTAGAATCAAACATTAAGAATAGTTCTTTGTTTTTATAGCTAGGTATGGGACATCTATTTCACGTGTTATAGGTGGTCTTTATATTAGAAATTGTTTGTCAAGTAACAGTTTATAGTCCAAGGTATTCCATCATCTCATGTGATAACATATGCTTCTCGTGTAAAGAAATAGGAAAGCAATTCCCCATGTATAGCTCTAAAAGTCAGTAAAAGTTTACATTCATAGTTCAAACAGGCCAGATATGCCGCCCAGAAGTTCCTTCTTTGCAGCTGAGTTTTTCACAGATGGTAGCTGTCAGGGTCAGAGAAGTTTTTTTTTTTTTTTTGAGTCTGGGCTTCAAGCCAAATCTCTTTTAAGCAATAACAAGTTGTAATACCATACTTTGCCACAAGATGTTACCGATGCCGTTTAAAGTTTTTTAAGTCCAAAGTTTTTATTATCGTTTTTCAAGTCTTATTTCTTTTTTTAAATAAAAACAAACATCTCCTGTAAGAATAGGAACATTTTTAGTCCCCAAGTTTCAAAAGCATATACATCCAGTTAGATTAAAATTGTTCTTATAATTGCTCTGTTTCCCCTGGGTAGTTAGTCACCACTGTTCTTAGAGGGTGGGGTAGAAATTCCCTTCCCTCTCTCCTCACAGGGGGAAAAATACTTTGGGAAGTTTTTACAGGAAAAAAATATTTAAAATCTTAAAGAGAAGATCAGATCTCATCCAGTTTCATCCGCGTTGCTTTAAAGGAGCTTGGTGGTGATTTTGACTTCAGCTGTCAGCAGCTTAGTGATGAATCATATTGCTATGGCCGGTCTTTCTCTCACCGGTTTGGAGGGCTTCCCCAGATCAAACAGAAGGGCTGCCCCACTCCCGTGATCAAGTGGGGATCCCCTCCTTGCTCGTCGCCCCTGCAGGGTGATTTTTGACCCTTTCCAGGGTCACTCAGCAGGACGAATTCAGATGCAAAAGATGCAGCTTGTCTTCCAATGTCTGCAGCGCTGCGATGGCAAACTTGAAGCCCCGCAAACTGAACTTTTAAAAGACATTCTTGGAAGTCCTTTCAGGAATCACAGAAAAAAATATTTTACTGATTTTTGTTTTATTTTATGGTTTGGGGATTTCTGTTGTTTTTATTGTTTTGTGCATTGCTCAGGATTCTTGTTATAATATGGGCAGCTGTATAAGTCATAAACATAATAA